TATGTGGCTGTTTAAATATTAAAACCCTATGGAATCACAGAGCACTCAAAGCTCAAATTAATGCTGGGAATTGTAATTACATACATTTCTTGTGAAAAGACTTGATGGTTGGTTTGAATTACAACTGTGTGGCTTTGGGAAAATGACTTAATATCTTTAGGCTCTGGTTTCCTTAAATGTAAAGTGGGGATAATACCACTTCTCTGGGAGGTCGCCAAGATTAAAGCAGACAATACATTTGTCAAAGTCCCTAGCACAGTGCCTGACACATAATAGGCACTCAGTAAATGTTAGTTTCTCCTTGACTAATTTCTTTCATTGGCTGTGTGGGAAAATTATGCGAACAAACTGTACAAGTCAATCACTTCCAAGGGCTTTTTGAAAATAATGATAGTCTTAAGAGAGCACTGTCATTGTTGGTTGGGGTCAGTTTTTTCCCTGCAAGAACATAAAGTTAAAATTTACTGGAGAGTATTTAATACACAACAATTTGCTATGAATCTGACTTTTCTTCAGGAACACACTTAATGATGAAATCAAATCAAGCAGAAGTTTTCTTGCATGCGATTCAAGAACGCTCTTTATCCAGTCTGCACTGAAATTGCATTACCTGGAGTTAAGGAGGAAGTGTACTCAGTTGAGCTTGGAAGCAATGTTACCAGAAAAGGATTAACAAATCATAAGACAAAATCCTTGGAAGTAAGGTCACTAGCAGACTGTGGCTAGGGCGCAAGCCAAGGAATAGGTTTCCCATGTGCTGCCCCATTAGTTCCTGGAATCTTTTTTTTTTTAATTTTTTTTTTTCAACATTTATTTATTTTTGGGACAGAGAGAGACAGAGCATGAACGGGGGAGGGGCAGAGAGAGAGGGAGACACAGCATCGGAAACAGGCTCCAGGCTCTGAGCCATCAGCCCAGAGCCCGACGCGGGGCTCGAACTCACGGACCGCGAGATCGTGACCTGGCTGAAGTCGGACGCTTAACCGACTGCGCCACCCAGGCGCCCCAGTTCCTGGAATCTTAATACATAACCTGCATCAGCGAATGGTGCCCAAAGGAGGGAAAGAACAAGAGCATCACGTCTCTGCTGTGCTAGACAACATGGCATTCCTTGTTTTCAAAAATTAGTTTTTATTTTATGAAAGCAATGTATGCACACGTAGGTTAGAAATGTGTATTAGACTTGCCTCTGATTCATCAATATTAGGCGTTCTCTTTTAATTACCTACTCCGGTCTTTGAGGATTTGGTTCTCCTATACCTTGCCTTCTGCTTCCCCCTCCAGTTTTCCCGCTAGAGTCATGTTACAGCCTTTGTTCAGTTGACTGCTCCATGTTTATATTGTGCCTGTATAAATATTGCTCAGACTGAGCATTATAGGGTACAGATCACTATATTTGCTTTCTTTTTTCTTTTCCTGAAGTTACTAATGACCCTCTTCCCCTCTTTCAACTGGTCCCCTTTCAAGTTCTTTCTTACACCTTCCAATAGCTTCTTGGTACACTTTTCTACAAGTTCAGTCAAACCAATATATATGTGCTCCATTCCCCCAAGTATTACTCCCAGACACTTCCTTCTCCTTCCTTATGGACTGCTCTCTCTCTCTCTCTCTCTCTCTCTCTCTCTGGCCTGCTGCATAGCTTCTTCCTGGGAATGCCTTGAGTCGGATTCTGCATTTCCTAGATTTGAGCCTCCCCCTTTCTTGTTGGACAAGGTGCTGCAGCAGAGGGCTGGGTGGTGGCAGTCCCCAGTGTGGCTGTCTCTTTCATCACACAGTTCCAGTCTGGGCTGTTTATCCTCCGTGACTTGCACACGGCTCTTCACCTGGGACCTCCTTTTACCCTTATTCTGGAGAGTTCCTTTGTGCAAAGGAACAAAGTAAACTTTTCCTTAACCATGGCACTATAATTAATTCAAAATGGATCACGGATTTTAAATGTAAAACGATACAACTTTTAGAATAAAAGATAGAACCTCTGTGATGTAGGGGTAGGTGAAGGATTCTCAGACATGGCTTAAAGCATGATCTATAAAATAAAAAATTGCTAAATTGGACTTCATCAGAACTAAAAAAAAAAAAACCCAAAAAACCCTTTTGTTCTGGAAAAGATCCTGTTAGGAGGAGCTGAAGACAAACTATAGACTAGGGGAAAATATTTGCAAACCACCTACCTGACAAAGGTTTTACACCTACAATATATAAGAGACTCTCAAAATTCACCAGTAAACAAATACAATTATAAAATGAGCAAGAGATGTGAATGGATGTTTCACTCAACTGGAGTTACAGATGACAGATGAGCACACGAAAAGATGTTCAGCATCATTAACCATGAGCGAAATGCAAATTAGAACCACAATGAGATACCAACAGGCGCTTGCCAGAATGCTTAAAATAGAAAATAATGGTAGCACCAAATGCTGGTCAGAATGTGGAGAAATGGAATCACTTTTTTTTCTTTTTTTTGCATGTTTATAACAGCTTTATTGGTAATAGCCAAAAGAAAGAAAGAAAAAGGAAGGAAGGAAGGAAGGAAGGAAGGAAGGAAGGAACAACCCAACTGTCCATCAATAGGTAAACGTATAAACAGCCTGTGGCCTATCCTTTACTATAGACTACTGCTTAACAATAGAATGAATTGATCTATAGACATGCTACAACTTGGATGAATCTGAGAATAACGATGCTGAGGGAGAGAAGCCAGACCAAAAAGTATACATACTATATATGATTTCATTTATCGAAAACTCTAGGAAATGCAACATACTGTACGGGGACAGAGGTAGAGGTGGATAGGGAGGGAGATGGGAGAGAGATTTACAAAGGCCACAAGAAAACGTTTGGCAGTAATAGAATGTAAAACGGTTCAGCTTCTCTGGAAAACAGTTCTGTGGTTCCTTAAAAAGCTAAACATGCAAACATGAGCCGGCGGTTGCACTCCTGGGCATTTATCTTGGAGAAGTGAAAACATGCATTCACACACAAACCTGTACATGAGTGTTCATATGGCTTTGTTCATAATAGCCCCAAACTGGAAACAATCCAGATGTCCTTCATTTGGGTGAATGGTAAAACCATGGGAATGCCATACCATGGAATACGTCTCAGCAATAAAAATGGAACCAACTCTTTTTTTTAAATTTTATTTTTTAAAATTCACATCCAAGCATGTAGTGCGATAATGATTTCAGGAGTAGAATCCAGTGATTCATCCCCTACATATAACACCCAGTGCTCATTCCAACAAGGGTCTTTCTTAATGCCCCTTGCCCATTTAGCCCATCCCCCCCACCCACAACCCCTCCAGCAACCCTCAGTTTGTTCTCCATATTTAAGAGTCTCTTTTTTGGGAATCTACTCCCGAAACCAAAAGCACACTGTATACACTGTAGCCTAGCTATCTTGACAATAGATTATATTTAGAAAAAGAAAAAAAATAAGAGTCTCTTACGTTTTGTCCCCCTCCCTGTTTTTATGTTATTTTTGCTTCCCTTCCCTTATGTTCATCTGTTTTGTATCTTAAATTCCACATATGAGTGAAGTCATATTATATTTGTCTTTGACTAATTTGTCTTACTGTAATACACTCTGGTTCCATCCACGTTGTTGCAGATGACACGATTTCAGTCCTTTTGATCGCTAATACTCCCATCATTCATATATATACATATATATATATATATATTCATATATATATATACATATATATGTATACATATATATGTATACATATATATGTATATGTATATATATGAATGATGGGAGTATTAGCAATATATATGTATATATATACATATACATGTATACGTATACATGTGTATATGTATATATGTGTATGTATATGTGTGTATGTATACATGTGTATGTATACATGTGTATGTATACACATACATGCATATGTATATATGTATACATATATACATATATACATGTGTATGTATACATATACATGTATGTGTCTATATGTATACATATATGTACATATACACATGTATATGTTTATATGTATATATACATGTATATGTATATATGTGTATATATACGTATGTGTATATATGTATATATACACATATATGTATATATGTGTATATATACACACATGTATATGTGTATATATACACGCATGTGTATACGTATATGTGTGTATATATAC